GAGCTCGTCATTCTTTCATCCTACACACCCTAGGGGACAAGCTGTTCGGGGAAATCACCGTCCGCAAGTGCGTAAGAAAGACGCGAATGGGTCGTACTTACCCGCACTTGCGGGCGATGGTTAACCCGACCCTGTGGATATCAACTCCCGACCTGGCGAAGGGCTAACCTCGTGCGACAGATAGGACACCAATTATGGGTCCGGGTAGTCCGGACGCGTGTAAGCCGCACTCCGTTCGGATCGTGCTTACATGCGTGCATACGATACGTCAGGTCATGCTTGTCAGGCGATCATTGTGAGACGACAGACATCCAATCGATCATGCCAACATGCCATCTCCATTCTCATCCGATTTCATAAATCCGGGACGTCAATCAAAAACGAAGTGCAAGATGTGCGCGGGTTATCCATACATCATTTCGCGAAAAGAAAGTCCGAGAAAGAAATCAAAACRGAAAACATTGAGAGAAAACCAAGTCGAAACAAAAGACACAGAGGGCCGCAAAAGACAAGGGCGAGTCGCCCGTAATCGACACCAAAATTTATATACACAGACGAAAAAGGAACGAAAAAGAAAGATGCAAATCYATGCCCAACTCAACCTCAAYTCTCTTTCTCTCTCACTCTCCGATGCCGACAGCCCGTCGTCGTGCACCAACCCACGGAGCCGTCACCCCGCTTAGTCCTCYTGCGCGCGTCAGGTTCGCTCCGCGCCCACAGTYCGTCGTGGCCCGCGTCAACCCCGCGCATTTGGCACCAGCTCGTCGGGTCGCCCGACTCCCACTTCACTCACCTCTTACTTCGCTCGTGTGCCAACAGCCCGTCGTCGCGCAACAACCCGAGCTTCCAGCAATAGTTAAGAGAGCAAGTTAATCGCGCAACCAAAATTTATAGCGTGCATGCATGCGCGAAGAACACGGAATTACAAAGATGTAGATAGATAGGGGAGAGGGAGTGCCTATGTTTGCATAGTCGGGCCGCGGCATGGGGGACGTACCCACTCCACGCATCGATCCGAACATGCAAACGCGGCTACCCAATGTAGGCAGGGGGGGGGAGAGGAAGAAACGAGGCGGGACGAAGGAGAAGCAAGAAACAGAAGGATACAATTACAAAAGTGTGCGCCAAAAATTACAGTTGCAAAAGGATTAAGGCGCCAATTAATCAAGGTTCCGGCGCAGCAGCAGGAAAGAGCGCGCGAGCATGCAGAGCAGTGCCCCAGAAACATAGAAATTCCGAAATTCCTAAATTCCTAGCTAGCCTGCCGAAGAGGTCCGAAAAGAAAATCAATATTCTGAAGGCCGTATGGCTCCCACCAAGATTCGAAAAGAAAATTTAAGAAAGAAATTCAAAAAGAGACACTGAAATTCCCGCACGATGTCTGCTCGCCCAAAAGTCCGACAAAACAGAATTAAAAGAAGGGAAAGGAAAGAAAAGAAGAGACGTCAACGTTTATTAATCGCGCACTCGGCGCGCACTCCGCATCCGACCAAGTTTTGCCCCCTTTTCCCCTGGTATTCCCGAATTGTCCCCAACTGTCATCAGGGGCTCGTGCGCGAGCGAAGAAACAACGAAGAAAGCAAGGACACACATGCAATTTTCCATCAACCCGTCCAATCGACGTGGGACCCCGCTTAGCACGTCGCGCCGAAAGTCGCGCATTACAGAAGCTAGTTCGTCACATATGTGACGCCCAGGGGGTTCCAAAGATAAGCAAGCTCCTGCTTGCAAGCTGACGTGTCGCTCATCTTTGATTGATTGGCCGTGGATGGTTGATCTCCTTTTCCGCCGCATACCGTGTGAACGAGTGTGGACGTCATGCTGCGCGGCAGTCATATCCTGGTTGTCGCCACTCGTGGGGGAGAGGAAAAGGAAGACGATAGGCCGGCGGAGGTGTTGATGGGGGATGAGTCGGGATAGGCGGGAAGAAGCATTCCAGCTCATCGTCCGTTTCTGGAAGGCTCCGATGATGGACGATTCTATGGAAGCGGGGGAATCGGCGGCCAGTAGTGGGGAGAGAAGCGAGGTAGTCGGGATAGAGAGTGGCGAAGGTTCTAAGAAGCGCCGCGCGAAAGCGATCGCGGTCGGCACATGCGGGGATTAACCCCGTGATGAGGCAATAAAGCTCTACGGCATTGATACGACCCCATCCAACGCTGAAGAGAAGTACATGGAGAGGGAACTCGGGGGAAGCACGCCGGGAGGATGAGTGGGGATGGACTGTGACAGAGAGGCGGATGGAGTAGTAATGACGGAAAGTGTCGCGGGGGAAGGGGTTGTGGGGGAAGATGGCGGGACGGGTGAGCTGGCGCAGGGTGAGGAAGTCATGGGGGCGGAGAGAGAGAGCCCGAGGACGAAGACCGATCGGCCTCATCTCGACGTGCTTGAAGTGGGGGACGGGCCGCAAGGGAGAGGAAGTCATTGTCGTCTCCGCTCCCTTGCTCGCTGTCTTCTTCTTCTGCTTCCTCTTCGCTCTCCGTTTGCAGGAGCTCGTTTTCGTCTCCTTCTTGTCGCTGTGCCGGCTCCCCTTCGTCTTCGCTCAGATTCTCCTCCTCTTCCTCCGAACTTTCTTCCGCGAGCTCCTCGCTGATTATCTCCTCCAATTCGGCTTCGCACGGCAGTCTGTGGAAAGCGGGATCCACGATGTCGCGCGGATCCAAGTAATCCAACCGTGAAGGCGGAATTCTCGATGGGAAGCCCTCCACGCAAGCTGACCACTGAAGATACGGCGACAGAGTGCGCGAGGTGACGTGGGGCACCAAGCGCGGGTCGGCCTGAGAGACAATGCTGACGTCAAGATGGTCGGCCAACTACACAATCGGGACCGTAAGCTCCTGGGTGAGAAGCCTCCGACCGCCTGGACGCACTGCCCCGAATAGAAAACCGAGAAGGTCCCCCTCTACTTCCGTCCGCCACGCCTGAATCAAAAGGAGCTCCAATCGCTCAGACCGGGGATAATTGCTCTCGTCCCTCGTCCACGTCACCCGTACTTCCGCCAAACACAGTGAGAGTTCAATAAAGTCCCTGCACCACGCGTCCCACTGAGAGGGATCGAGGAGGGGAACAACCAGAGGATCTATGCAGAAGGAGAGGCGGGGATGAAGATCAGACTGCCAAAAGGTGGGGAAGGAAGAAGGAAGCTCGAAAGTAGAGATCGGGAAGGAACTCATCGGGGATGGAAGGGGATGAGAGGGGGTAATTGCGTCGGCGAGTCACACCGATCCAGCCGAAGGCCGTTGTATTCGATCGCTCGGATTGGTGCGATCACGTCCCCTTGGTGCGCCAGGATCTGGGTCCACTCGTTCTGAAGATTGTGCGCCCACAGAAGCAACGTCGCCTTGATTCTCATGTGTCGGATGGGGGGGATCGTTGTGAGATCCCCACTAAAATTAACCACCACCGTTATCCGGCCGACGTCCACAGATGTTCGTTGTCGCAACCCGATAGCTTCGGCCAATATGATCGCGTTAGTCCTCCCGTCGATGTGGATCTCTGCTGCCGCGTAGACGCCCTTCGAGCAAAAGAATTGCGCAACCCGCTGAAGGTCCGGACTAAGACGAGGATGATGCACCTGCCGCAGTGTTAAATTCCCCCGTGCTACCAGTGCTTCTTCACTTAGAGTTCTCTCCTCCATAAAGCTCATGGCGATGGCGAGGGTGACGGCGTATCCGACAGAGATTGAGAAGGAGAAGGAGATGCAAAGGAGATAGAGTCGTCGTCGGGAGAGGTTGATGGAGAAGGAGACGAAACAGAGGGAAGAAGACGGAGATAGGACACGTGGCGTGTGATCGGGCGAGCCGATCAACTGCCGGAAATCTCGGGAGCGAGGCGCACGGTGTCCATGCCGTTGGGTCTGAGCTCAATCACTCGATACTGTCCGAAGAATCGTGGCGCTAGTTTACCCTGGCGCGCACATTTCCTTACCTGCACGATGTCCCCTAACTTATACTGGGTCCTGGGACCCGCATTCCCGTTCCAGGCCTCGTAGCTTCGGACCTGTCGGCCATGGGCCAATTCGGTGGACCGTTGGCGCTTCCGGGCCAATCTTGGTAGGGACCGCTCCATGAGTTTCAGGTGCCTTTTGGCTTTGTCCCGAGCGGTGGCCCTTGTGGGGCGTCGGTTCAGTCCTGATTCGTCTGGGAGGCCCGGTATCGATACACACGCGACACTATTGGTCCGCAACTGGAAGGGGCTTAGGTCCGTCGATTCATGGGGCGTTCCGCGATGGACCGCCAAGATGTGGTCGACAATATCAGGCCAGGGTCGGGGGTCTCGTGCCGCAATATTCCGCCGCAAGGCCGTTTTTATCACCCTATTCGCGTTTTCCACTAATCCGTTAGACTGGGACATGTGTGGGGCCGTGTGCCGTATGGAGACGCCGTGTATGACCAGGTTTCTCTCGACTTCTCCTCTAAATTCGACCCCATTGTCGGTCAGGATCTCTTCTGTGTCCTGGTGCATGCCCAGAAAGCGGTTGACGTACCGCGCGATTTCCGCGGCTTGTCGTGTCTTACAGGGGTAGGCCTTGATCCACTTAGAAAAGTGGTCGACGAAAACCAACCGAATTGAACAGTCGCAACTATTCGGTCTTGGGGGCACCACTATATCAGTAGTATCCATACTAACCCTCTGAAACGGCCTTTCAACCACAGTTGGGACTATCGATCTAGGCGGTTGGGTTGGGGCCTTGTCAGCCGCGCAGACCTGGCAGTGTTGGACGATGAATTTAACGTCGTCCCGGATATTGGACCAGTACCATTGATTTCTGTCAATCGCAGCTTCGGTAATACGCACGGCAAAATGCGCCGCCGTTTCCTCGTGGGCGGTTCGTACCCAGTCGTACCGCATGAACGGGTGCGGAACTACTAACCATGCTCCACTGCCGTCCGTTTTACGCTTCTCTAACCATCCATCCACCCATCGGTAATCCCGTGCTCTTTCGTTGGCCCTCCTCCGATCCTCCTTGGAGAAGGTTTTGAGGGAGTTGCCTACCACCGTGGCTATTAAGGCGACATTTATCCAGACTTCTGCTCTTCTAAACTTCTGGATTTTGTCGGGGCCTTCCGACGTGGCATCGAGGAATCGGGCTTCTGTCGGAATCTTGTCAGTGCGACATAAGGGACAGAACCAGGGTCTATCACTACTCCGATACTGTATGCACGCACCGTGAGCACGTGCGACACATTTCCGACAATTTACCCATTCAACATATCACGTCCCTTTTGGACACATTTGGACGGAATAGACTCAAGAAATTGACTCGCAGAAATAGCAAAATTTGTCAGGAAGAAAGAGAGGGAATCGGGACATTACCTCTGTCACCCATTGCCCTTCACCGGCTTCTTGCCACGTGGAATGACCGCAACTTCTCCGTACTCTGGACCGTTGTTGATGTCCGGGTCCTTCCACGGTGTGATCTCTTCCGCTTTTGGTACTTTACCAGGTCGGTGCAAACGTGTCAGTCCGTCGGCGTTGCCGTGTCTCTCCGTTTTTCGATGAACAATGTCAAATTCATATTCTTGCAACCGCACCGCCCATCGTCCGATCATGCCCGTGTAGTTGGTTAGCTTTTTCAGAGCCAACGGAGATTCATGGTCGGTGACGAGCAGAAACTTCTGACCGTACAAATACGGATGGAAGTGTTGGATACCCCACACTACCACATAACATTCTCCTTGTGGCGCGGAATCGTTTCGTCGCTCGTCTGACACCGTCCGGGAAGCGTACTCAATGACATGCTCCTTCCCATTGTTTCCCCTCTGTACCAGAATAGGCGAAATAGCCTCCGGCTGCCAGTCGGTGATGAGAATAAACTGCCGAGAGGGGTCCGGCCGGATCAGAATCGGGGCCGTGACGAGAGCATCCTTCAGGGCCCCGAAGGCCTGGTCGCATTCGTCATCCCAATGAAGGGGCTGTTCTTTTCGCAGCAGGTTTGTCAGAGGCCTTGCTATAGCCGCGAACCCCTTGAGGAACCGCCGGTAGTACGAGGCCAAGCCCAAGAAGGCTCGAACCTGCGTCAGTGAGGTCGGAACCGGGGCCTCTTTGACCGCCGCGACTTTTCGAGAGTCCGGCCGCAGGCCTCCACGTGTCACCACATACCCCAAGAACGAGATTTTCGGGAGAAAAAACTCGCTCTTTTCCAGCGCGATCTTGAAACATGCGTCTCTCAACGCACCCAACGTCCACTCGATGCGCTGCGCGTGTCCGTGAAACGTGTCCGAGTACACCAGAATGTCATCCATGTACACAATGACACAAAAGTTAATCATCGCCTGAGTCAGCCGCTACTTATTGACGAAATTTTGAAAAGTCACGTTCATCGCTCGCTGAAACGTGGCAGGCGCATTGCAGATTCCCATCGGGCACCGAACCCACTGCCACGTGCCTTCAAACAAAACGAAGGCGGTCTTGGGCCGATCTTCTTCTTTCACCAAGATATGATGAAACCCATGCCGAATGTCGAACTTGCTGAAGTAGTTAGCACACCCGATCGCATCAAGTAGATCATCAATCTAGGGAAGGGGATACACATCTTTAATCGTGATATCATTTAGCTTTTGATAATCGATGCATATGCGGACTGACCCGTTCTTTTTAGGAAACAACACAACTGGGAACGGCCAGGGACCGGTGGCAGGCTCAATCCATCCGTTTGCCTCAAATTCCTTGATTCGCTGCAAGGCCGTCTTGCGCTCTGTCAACGAGTATCAGTACGGCTTGCAGTGGATCGGGGAATGATTCCCGGTCTGAATCTCATGCTGAACGACCACAGATAATCCAATATCGGCATCGGACACGCTAATCGCCCCTTGATATTCTATTAAAATATCAGCGATCAACCGGTGGATCTCATCAGGTACATACTGGGGCACATGCAATTCATACATTTGATCCAAAATCCGAACGTTAACTTGCTTCGTGTGTATACGCCGAGTAGTGTCAGGCAGTGCAGATATAAAAGAGTGATCCGATCTCCAAGAAAACACAGTGGCCACCATCTGTGCTTCCTCCTCCCTGATCGCTGTATGGCCTTCGGGGGTTATCCCATCGCAGATGTCTCGCCAGGGCACGTTTTTGGGCGAGATTTTGATCCCTCATTCATCGGATCTTGCCTCGATATGCCCGAGGGGGTTCCAAAGAACCTGCTTCGGCTCCCAAACGTAACAACTGAACTTCTTTTCCGGGCTGAAGCAGGGATCGAGGTAAGCTAGTGAGATCACAAAAGAAACGCTTGTCACTATATCGAAGGAGAAGGGGAGATACGCCTTCGTACAGGGTCCGAGGGGGTTCCAAGGAATCAACCAGCCTCGAAATCTGTACGAGGGGTTCTCCCATGATCATCATATGAGCGTTCCGTGTGGTTAGATGCATGGTACGCGCAATAGTGCGAGGCGGCGGGTAGTGAATCTGCTGCCGTAATAACTGTGTAACGACTGGGTCGTCATCGTCGTCGCTCCACGCGTCGTTCGATGATTGGCCTTCGTCCACAGGTGCATTCCAGGAGACCATGCGGAGCGCTCCCATTGTTTCCGGAGAAATTCGGGGTACTGCCTTAACCGACGTTCGAAGAGTTAGTCTCATGGGTATTACATACGGCTTTCCCCCGGTATTCCGGAGAATGACGGATCGGCATTCGAAGTCCAAATTAGCACGTTGCGCCACCAATGCAGGAAGCCCGAACAGAACGTCATATGTATTCACATCCAGCACCATGACATTTCCCAAAGCATGCACTTTTCCCAATTGGAACGCGACGTTCGTCATACGCCCTACTGTCTTGATCTTCTCCTCATCAGCCGATACGAGCTGGTCCTTCTCGGTTAGCATAATCAAATCATTCTTCCTACCCGCTCTCTCGACTACTCGGAGTGATATCGCTAGGACAGCCGCTCCCGAATCTATGATCGCACTATACGGCATTCCCCAGACTTCAATATCACATTCGGTTGACTTCCACGGAATCGGCTTGATCCGAAGAAAGTGGTCATCTTTCTGTATTAATCCGACTCGGATAGGATCAGGGGCAACGTCCGCCTTTTCCTCCGAAGGCGGCGCCTTCGCCTTCTGATCTTTTGCGCATGCAAGGGCGAATCGCTTCTGGTTCGCTTTGCAATGCTGCATCATACGTTCGTTCCCCTGTTCCGAGATGGAAAGTAGGTGGCCGATTGGGAGAGGGATTCGATGATCCAGTGCTCGGGTAACCTCAAGGACATCGATTTCTCCTGTAACAAAGGTAGGGCCTCCCGTCTCCATTTCGCTCGACGAAGGCCGCCACTCGGCGACATCTCTGGACTCGAGTTCCGGTCGAATTGTCCCAATCATTCCCAGCCCCGGGTATCCTAGTGATACGTACTGCTCCAGCGGGATAAGCTCAGCTGCTTCCTCACTGGAAATCATCATTCCCATACTTCCCCCCTGATCATCCATCACGGCTCCTACACGTCCTGGACCGTTGGCTATGGGAGCTGCAGCTGCAGGCGCGATCCCGGCTCGAGGCTGCATGGCACGATGGGGGCAATCTCGGGCCAAGTGTCCCGGTTGATGACATGTAAAACAGGCATTTGCCGCTGTCCCGGCTGGCCCTGCTGCAACTTGTGCAGCGACCATGCCTTCCTGCATTGGTGCTCGCACTGCAATGGGTCGCATATTCCGCATCATAGCTTTTAATCGGGCGTTGTGTTCTCGCTGTTCCTTCTTGCTTTCTTCGATTAGACTAACCAACGTTTTAGTTAGCTCCAAGATAGCAGTAGACTCGCTCATTTTTGCGGGTGACTCGATGGTGGGTGGCGGTGGAGGTGGCCGAGTTACGGTTGGGGACGTCATTACCGGGATCTGCCTGTCTACAGTCACTCCATGGGTTGCGGTCCTCGGTGTTACCTGCTCTACATACGTAACGGGCCCGGCTACGAATCCCATGTTTTCGAATTTGTTTTGTAGTGCGGCCTGTTCCGCCCTTGCTTTCACAAGTTCGGACGAGTCTCCTTCTCTACCGTAATCCTCATTTTCTAAGAAGCTAGCTACGAATTTCCACTCCATCTCTTCGACAGCGTCCATAATTTGTTGCAGCGTGTGATTAATGGGAGAGAAGTTTTTACGTAGCTTCCCCCGAATCGCTCTGTTACGTAGTCCATCGATGAACAGGTCCCGGCTTACCTTCTCACCTCGCTCAGTCTTTACAAACATTCGATGAAATCTGTTCCGATACTCGGTAATGGATTGGAGTGGTTTCTGGACTCGATCCTTGATCATATAGAGTGCTTGTTCGGGGTGAACATAATCGAAGTGGTTCATGAAATCCCGCTCGAATGTGGGAAGATCCACCCATACATAAGTGCTATACCAATGATGGGCGTCTCCCCCCATCCGCGCGGGGATGTTTATCTAAGCTTCATCGTTAGTATACCGCTGAGCTCGGAGCGTGGCCAACCATGCTCCGGCGAGATGATGTGCTGGGTCAAATAAATAAAGATCTGGTGGGGCCGCAGGGGTTCGCGCAGGCGGGTTAGGCGCTTGATTGGGGATGGTCGCTGCAACGGCTGCTGCAGCAGCGGCCGCAGCCATGGCGCCCGCTCGCCTTGTGGCGGAGGTTCGGCTTCGTGTAGCTACAGGACTACGTCGACGTGTATTACCCGCTGCAGGGCGCCTACGTGGAGCCACATCGCCTCGCCTTAGCCAGTATTGAATCTACAGACCCTTATCGCTTAGCCACGTGTCGGGCTCCGATACCAACCTCACGCCCAGCGCGACTTCCTGATCGGAGTAGGGTGTGGGCCTGGACGTGCGAAAAGGGGTGTGCCAAGGATTTTTGGAAAGTGGGGGTGGAGTCCCAGGTCAGAACTGAGAT